CTCCTCTCCCACTTGCCCGACACCCAGTAAATGTTATTCCTATATGTCCACTTAAGTGTTGATCAGTTAATACTAATTTGGTGGTGAGTACATGCTGTGCTTATTTTTCCATTCTTGGGATACTTCACTTAATAGAATGGGTTCTAGCTCTATCCAGGAAAATACAAGAGGCACTATATCACTGTTGTTTCTTATAGCTGAATAGTACTCCACATTTTATTAATCCACTCATGTATTGATGGGCACTTGAGTTGTTTCCACATCTTTGCAATTGTGAATTGTGCTGCTATAAACATTCGAGTACAGATGTCTTTTTCATGGAGTGACTTTTTTCCCAGCAAAGATCCTCAGTTTATGCTCCAAGGAAAAAATAGCCAGTTGGACTTACCTCATCCCAGAACAGTTCTCCTTCCTCTGAAATGTTAGTTTATGTGGTTTTTGGTGCTTTTGCAACCCTCTGATGCCCTTAAAATATAATTTAAAAATTTACACTTTAAAACTCGAATTGTTGCAGCAGGAACATTGTAGCTTCCCGAAACCCACTGTATTCTATGTAGAAGCAGAGATCTACCTCTTTTATTTATAAAGAGACTGATGTCAGGATATCTTAGTTTGGTTAAACCTTTCAGTGCATAAGAGAGATTTGAAGAGGCTATAAATCACACCAGTTATCCAAGAAGATAGTCTTTAGCAACTACTACCCTTTGATAATAGTTAATTGATAATAAACTATCCCTTATTTATTTCACCAGATGAATTAAAATTTTATTTTATTCATTTATTTTATATTAAAATAAAAATTAGTTAAGAATATTTATAGGTGTCCATATTTCTCTAATATGTATAATTGAAGCCCTTTCCACAGTACCTAAATTCAAATCTCTCACTTGGAGTTACTGAATATAGCTTTCTAAATAATTGATCTGCCTTTCTGATTGATACTGGTCCACTCTCTTCACTTTATTTTCTACAGATTAAATCTGAGCATACAAATGCCATTCCTGAAACCATTTATAGATTTCCCCCTTAGGATCAAGGTGATGCTCATTATTACATCTTATAAAGCTTTTCATGATCAGGCCCCTGCCTGGCTCTCTTGCCCCCATCTTGAATTCTTTCCTTATTATCATATGCTTCTGCCGCACTGAGTGCCCTTTAGTTTCTTGAGTACACCATGTTGTCTTTACCTCTTCAATGTTTGCATATGTTGTTTACTTTGCTCAGAATGCTATTTTCTTTCCATTTATCTTTTTTCACCCACTTAACTCATAAAGGTTCCAGATAAAGTTGTCATACGTGGCTGGGAGAAATGAGGAAGTAATTGTGCAGGACGTAGCAATTGTGCTATGTTCAAAGACCGGGATTGGATTTCAAAATTCAGTGATGAGGGGTGTGTGGAAAAACTCAAAGCGACTTTTCCTAAATGTAGCAGGAATGCATGATAAGCTTAAACTATTGAATTAGTTGACGCATAAAGGACATTTCTTTCTGTATTTTTAGGACAATGTTTTTGAAGTGATAATTGGACAAGACAGAATAAATTCATTATCACCATTATGATTTTCAGAAAGCAAATATTTTAGGAATTAAAATAGTGAAATATTCACAAAAGGAAGCGATATTGTGAGCGGTGGCAGTCAGAGCAGTGTCCTTGGTGGGACTTGGGCACAATCTTGCTTCCTCTTCTGTGTGTTCCCCTACCCCAGGAAGGGTAGTTATTAAGAAGTGCCTGCTCTAGGCCTCCTAGGAGATTTTTTCCCAGGGAGGCTCCTGGGAAATTACTTTGTCTGTTGTTAATTAGTTTCTCCAGGATCTGGGTTCTGCTGGGAGCTATTATCCCTAGGCCCTGGAAAACACAGAACGGGAGATGTGTGAAGGGATGGTGTAGACTTAGGTGATGACTACTGAGGCCGTGTCTCGATGTGCCTGTATAAAAGAGTGAAGGATCCCAGGTTCAGGCCTTGGAGTTACCTTCAGACACATGTGGTAAGTTAGGCTGGAAGTTGTATCCCATTGGGCCCTTCCCACCTTGGGGTCCAGATTACTAAGGTTCTTTGACGTGACTATGTGGGATTGTTCTTTAGGCAGTGTAAAATCCAAATAACTGCTTAACATTCTAGAAATATCCTCATTAGTGTTTACTAGATTCAATTTCTCTATTTAAAATAGTATTTGTAAGCACAATTGACCCTTGAACAACATGGGTTTGAAGCACGTGTGTCCACTTATATGCAGATTTTCTTCTGCCTCTGCCACCCCTGAGACAGCAAGACTGATCCTTCCATTTTCTCCTCCTTTTCCGCCTGTTCATAGTAAGGATGAAGATCTTTGTGATGATCCACTTTGTGATGATCCAGTATTTACTGATGAATAGTAAATACATTTTCTCTTTTGTATGATTTTCCTAATAACATCTTTTTTTCCTCTAGCTTATTTTATTGTAAGAATACAGTACATAATAATATATACAAAATATGTGTTAATTGGCTGTTGATGTCATTGGTAAGGCTTTTGGACAACAGTAGGCTATTAATAGTTAAGTTTTGGGGTAATCAAAATGTATATGTGGATTTTTGGCAGCACAGGGCTTTGTTGCCTCTAACCCCTAGAGTTGTCTAAGGGTCAATTGTATTGCATGACAGAGTCATTTAAACTTTGTAAGGAATTCTCACAAGAGACTTCAACTTTACAACAGCTTTCTAGGATTGGCAGGGTTGAGTCAGTGTTGCTATTTTATTTCTACCCAGAACCACTGAATATACATTCTTCTCATCAGCTCATGGGACATTCTCTAAGACTGACTATATCCTAGGACACAAAGCATGTCTCAAAAAATTAAAAAAAATGGAAATTATACCAGTGTTGCTATTTTAAAGCTGAAGAAATTAATGTACAGAGATGTGAAAAGAGTAGATAAAGCTCATATGCCCCATCTCATCAATGGTAACATGTGTAAGTCATATCTGACTGATTTGACTTCCTAATCATATGTTTTAATAAGGGATAGTACCAACTTAGTTCCCAGGATGGGAAATTCCTGAAGAATTTCAAAGATAGGTCCTTCTCACCACTAAAACATAGTGCTACATCTTTCTTTTTTTCTGTCCAAGTGTGAAAACACACTAATATCTTTGTATTAAACTCTACAGTCCTGGTGAATATTCTGCAGTGAGGGGTCCCTTCTGTCTCTTCAGGGTTTGTAAATGAATTTTAAAAACTCCTATAATGTCACACTGTGGAAAGGGTATCTAGATGAGCCCAGGAACTAAGTCTGAGAGGTTGGAATTTACCCTTATTATTTTTGTTTTTCCCCCATGATCTTAAGACTTCCACGTCAGTCTCATTTCTTCCCACATCAATATCTTGATATTGTGTGGGCTGACTCTCAAGGAACAAAATCATGGCATTGTTATCTGAGTAGAATGACATTAAGCCATATAACAGGGTGGCTTGAGATGAAGGAATATTCTGGAATGAAGTTCTGACAAGCCTACAGTGCAGTTATATGTAAGTTAAAACAAAAGATTTATATGAGGGGGCTCTTGACTTGGAAAGACTCAGTGGCAGTGAATTGTTCTAACCTCCAGTGTTTTTGGTTTCTGTTGAAGGAATTCATTCAGTAGTTCCTTAGGTAGCACATTTTCTTTTTTTTTGTGGCACACATTGTTCTAGATGTTGGGGTTCAGCAGTGAGCAAGATATCTATTATTAACATCTAGCAAGGAGCAAAAATCTCATATTTAATGACCTAAAGTATAAGTTGCCAGGAGAAGGGAAGGAGAGGGATAGAGACAGCGTGTTTAAGGCCGTGGTACTATCAGGTGCCATGGTGGGTGGGAGCAGATGTCTTTGGGTTGGTGGGAGAAACCCAATAGGCCTGGAGTAGAGAGAGAGGGGGGTAGGCAGGAGCAAACTAATCTGGCGAAATAGAGTCTTGTGGGTCATGTTCAGCATTTTGGAGATTATCTTAATAGAAAGGAGAACTTCTTTAATTAGCAGGTTTGAATTATGAAAATATAACTCTAGATAAAGTCAACAAATTATAAGGGAGCAAAAATAGATGTGGCGGGGGTGGGGTGGGGACCAAATCTGTTGCAGTTGTTCAGGTGAAAAAAGCAGGTGACCTGAAAGGTGTCCATGGGGGATGGAAGGAATGGGCATAAGGAGAGATGTTTAAAAAGAGGAATTGATGAGATGTATTGATTGAACGAGGGGAGTGAAGGATAGGTAGGAGTCAAGGATGACTCTTGGGTTTCTGGCTTGGAAATGAAATGTATAATGGAATGTCACTCTACATCAGTGGCTTAAAATATTTTTTAAAGACAACTAAATCTTTTGCTTAGAAAAACTATGTGTTTTTTCAAAGCTAATGTCAACAACTTGAAGATGGCTTAGGTAGCTAGAGAATACTGGGGTGGTTCACACATGGAACGGGGAAGACAACAAACTTAGTATCAGAAAGATGAGGTTTGAGGTGTCAGTGAAACATACAAATAGAATGTTCATCAGGGAACTGAACATCTAGGCCTGTAGCTCAGGGGAGTGGTGTGGGTTGAAGAAACACACTTGGGATTCACTGGCATATTTTGGGAAATGTAGAAGGGCGATACTCTGAGAAGCAGTAATATTCAAAAAATGATGGAACAGAAGCAGTTCCCCAAGGAAAGTGTGAACTATTGCTAGGTAGGGAGGAAAAAAAAAAAAAAAATCACAAAGGTAAGGTGTCACTTGACCAGGAGAGCGGAGAGTTTCCCGAAGTAGGAAGTGATCATTAGTGTTAGATGTGATATGTTACTGAATTTAGAGACATGAATTTAGAGTCATCATTGGCTTTGACAAGACAGTTTCAACAGAAGGGGTGTAGTAGGAGCCAGTCTACCACTGCTCCTAAATCCTCATTTGCCCTTTGACAATAGGCCACACATCATAGAGATATATTTGTTTGTTATCTTTAGATTTTAAGGAGCATTATATTCTTCATGAAGACAATAGAGTCACAGAATGACGAAGAAGAACCAAACTGTCGTCTCAGAGTTCCTCCTTCTGGGCATGCCTATCCAGCCAGAGCACCAAAACCTGTTCTATGCCCTGTTCCTGGCCATGTATCTTACCACTGTCCTGGGGAACCTCCTCATCATTGTCCTCATTCATCTGGACTCCCATCTCCACATCCCCATGTATTTGTTTCTTAGTAACTTGTCCTTCTCTGACCTCTGCTTTTCCTCTGTCACAATGCCCAAATTGCTCCAGAACATGCAGAGCCAAGTCCCTTCCATCCCCTATGCAGGCTGCCTGGCCCAGATGTATTTTTATTTGTTTTTTGGAGTTCTGGAGAGCTTCCTCCTTGTGGTCATGGCCCATGACCGCTATGTGGCCATCTGTTTTCCCCTACACTACACCACCATCATGAATCTCAAGGTTTGCTTGTCTCTGGTGGTGCTGTCCTGGGGGCTGACCACTGCCCACGCCATGTTGCACACCCTGCTCATGGCCAGGCTGTCCTTCTGTGCTGACAATGTGATTCCTCACTTTTTCTGTGATACATCTACTTTGTTGAAGCTGGCCTGTTCTGACACTCGGGTCAATAGGTTGGTGATACTTTTCATGGGAGGGTTCATTCTTGTCATCCCATTCGTGCTCATCATCATGTCCTATGCAAGAATTGTCTCCACCATCCTCAAGGTCCCGTCTGCTGAGGGCATCCAGAAGGCTTTCTCCACCTGTGGCTCCCACCTCTCCGTGGTGTCTCTCTTCTATGGGACAATTTTGGGACACTTATGCCCATCCACGAATCATAATACTGTGAAGGAGACTGTCATGGCTGTGATGTACACTGTGGTGACCCCCATGCTGAACCCCTTCATCTACAGCCTGAGGAACAGAGACATGAAGAGGGCCCTGGGAAGAGTCTTTAGCAAAAAGAAAATTTCTTTCTCTCTAAAATGGTAATTGGAATTTCACCATTTTAAATTTATAGATATGGTAATGTTTATAAAGGAATGTCACTCTAAATTAGTGGCTGAAAATTTTTTTTAAAGATCACGAAACCTTTTGCTTAAACAAAACCATATGTTAAAAACTAATGTTGCTCTGCATCTATTTTGTAAAAAGTCATTTGTGTCCAGTAAAATCTCTTTGAATTAGATTATACTGTTTCCTCTTGTGAAAAATAATTTAGATGGAGGTAAAGATTTTTGGTGTAAAATATTACCAAATGAATTAAGATTATATGCAAGAAATCATGAAGACATGTTTAGACAATATAAATATGTGTATATTTATGATCAACTAAAAATATTTCTTAGCCTCTTCCAACATAAACTAATAACCTATTTGCAAATTATATTCACATATCAATTAAATGAGTTTTATTGAGTTTTTGATCAATAGTTCTTCAAAAGTTCAACATGTATTTGATATTAAGACAACTTTTTAAACAGAAATTAAATAATATATACTTTAATAATAGTAAAAAAAAACTAATGTTGAAATGTGATGACAACAGCTGTGTTTGAATTAGAGTTGGGGGCAGGAAACCAAAGTGATCAGCATGTTTCTTTCTCCATTCCCAGGTGGTCTTGCAGTTTGAAAATAAAATTTAAATATCCTTGTGCCAACACTTATTATCCATATTAGTTTGGAATTATCTTCTTAAACAGCACTGTAATCATTGTTTTCATCCCACTCAAGAATCTTCAATGACACTCTCAAGTGATGAAAAAAAAAACAAAACCCAATATTTTCTGTCTTATGAGCATATATAATCCTGAAGCTTTCTACTTCCAATACCTTACTTTTTGCTATTGAATAAAGGCATCTCTTATTTCCTTCTCTGCAAACATATCCTCACATCATTCTATCCTTTAATTTTCATGTAATTTTACAGACCTTAAAAAGAACAACCTACCTTTAAAAGAGATATAGTAAACAGCAAACACTTGCTGGGTAATTTTCTATATATAAGGCATTTTTAGAATCTATTCACATACGAACTCTATGAAGTTGGTCTTATTCTTATCCTAATTTTATGGACAGAGAAATAGAGAGTTTAATTTACCATGCAACATCACACAAGAAGTAAGAGGTATAGCTGAGATTTGAACCCAGGAAGTTTGACTTTAGAGCCCCAAATCCTTAGGACTACACTCTACTACACCTTGAGACTACAGAGTCCTGTGTTGTTCGTTTCCAATCACTTGTCAGGTAATCATGCTAATTTCCTTCACACCTTCTTCATATTTCTCATTGTGATCTTGAATTATGATTTTCATCAGATACAACCAAAAAGTGGAGAAAAGTTTGTAAACATGCATTTTCATGGGGCCAAGCAGATAATGTAGATGATTGTAAAGTAGTCCAGATTTTAGAAAAACCAATTGTAGAAATATGATCATAAATATTTTATTTTATTAATATGTGAACTATACCTTTATCATAACACAAACATATAGTCTATTAGAGATTATATTTCAAATTTGATATTGAACAAATTCTAATTGGAAAATAGAACTATTTAATTGTTAAGTATATTTTTGTAGTTTGTCATTTCTTTGATTTGGGACAAAAATGTTTTATCTTTTCTTCTTCACCCAGATGTCAGTGTAAAGTCCTTTGTTCATGGATGGTTTAATAGGGAATTCAGTCTGTTAACTGAGAGTGATATTTAGGCTTTTTTGTTTAATAATAGAAAAGAGTTGTTCACAAACACACACACTTTGAACATGGATCAAATATTTGCATAAACATTTATTTATTTATTTATTTTTGAGACAGGGTCTCACTATGTCACCCAAGCTGGAGTGCAGTGGCACGATCATAGCTCACTCCATCCTTGAACTCTTGCTTTTGCCCATTTTAAAAATTGGGTTATTTGCTTCTTTGCTATTAAGTTGTTTGAGTTTCTTATATGTTTTTGGATAGTGACCCCTTATCAGATGCATGGTTTGCAAATATTTTTCCCCGATCTGTGGGTTATCTCTTCACTTCGTTAATTTTTATTTTCCTGTGTAGAAGCTTTGTAGTTTGATGCTATCACATTTGTCTAGTTTTGCTTTTGTTTCCTGCACTTTCATGGTCATATTAAAAAATTAATTGCCCAGACCAACATTGTGGAGCTTTCCCCTACATTTTATTCTAGTAGTTTTACAATTTTAGGTCTTATATTTATGTCTTTAGTCTACTTTGAGTTGATTTTTGTGTTTGGTTAAGTTAAGGATTTAATTTTATTCTCTTACATGTGGATATACAGTATTCTCAGCTCCATTTATTCAATAGGCTGTCCTTTCCTCATTGTGAGTTTTTGGCACCATTGTAAAAAATCAATTGACCATAAATGCATAGATTTATTTCTGGGATTTTTATCCTGCTCTATTGGTTTATGTGTCCATTTTTATGCCCAAACCATGCTGTTTTGATTATAATTGATTACAATTATTTTACACACGTAATGGGTGTGGTGATGGAGATGGGGGTGGGTCTGGAGATGGACATACGTGAAGCTCTGACTTGGGTGGGGCAAGGGTAATATACGTAACCTAAACATTTGTACCCCTATAATATGCTGAAATAAAAAAATTAAAAAATAGTTTTATAATATATTTTAAAAGAAGAGTGCAATGCCTCCGGCTTCATTAATTTTACTCAATATTATTTTGGTTATTTGGGGTCTTTTGTGGTTCCATATGAATTTTAGAATTGTTTTTTTCTATTTTTATGAAAAATGACATTGGAATTTTGATAGGGATTACATTGAATCTATAGATAGCTTCGGGTAGTATAGGAATTTTGACAATATTAATTCTTTCAATGCACAGACACAGGATATACTTCCATGTATTTGTGTTTTCTCCAATTTGAGCATGGATTTCAATTTTCTTTTTGCACCAAAATAAACTCATTCTAACTTGTTATAACATGTCAAAACAGGATCTAGTTTGAGGCACTAAGAAAATATCAGTTTGCAAAGAGCTCCTATCAGAAGAACATGAATTCTGCTAAAATTGAAGTAAGAACAAACTTCACTTTTATGGTGAAGCTTGGGTAGACAAATACTGAAATCATTGATGCTTTACAAAATGTTTAGGGGACAATGCTTCAAAGAAATCAGTAGTTTACAAATTGATAGCTCATTTTAAGGAGGGAAGAGATGCTGTTGAAGATGAAGCAGGCCATTCACATTAACTTTAAGGAAAAATTTAATCTTGTGTGTGGCCTAACTGAAGAAGATTGATGATTAACAGCAGACACAATATCCAGTAGAAACAGACAACTCAATTGGTATAGCTTACACGATTGTGACAGAAACATTAAAGTTGAGTAAACTTTATTCCCTTATTTTGGTCATGAGTTAGTTGTTCCATGTTGTTTTTAAAGTATTATTAATAATATTTAATAATAACATTATTAAAATATAATAATATTATATTAACATTATATTTAATTATATAATTTAATATAATTAATATTATATTTGACATTTATAATATCAATATTACATTTAATAATGTTATTATTAAATATAATAATGCCTTATTATATTATAAATCTGGATGTCTATTTTAGAACATAATAATTGTAAGAACTTACCCTAACGACACTGACCTGATAATAGCTTTGTTCTGATGCAGTCCTGTAGCTTAGGCATGAATATTTCAGGTTCAGATCATAGGTACTGGAAGTGAGGGCTCTAATTTCTCTCCCTCTTCTATTCCTTACTGCTTAGTATGGGGAACACTGATGGATGGAGACCCTTATACTAGATGTCAAGTCACTACCGCTAAGGGGAAGGAATTTTCCTAACCCAAATTAGCTTTCTCAGGGAAGACTTCATGTCTTGGTTCCTCAAACTATAGATAAAGGGATTCAACATTGGGGTTACCACCGTGTACATCACCGATGCAACTGTGCCCTTCTGTGCCGAGCGGGTTGAGGGGGGGCTGAAATAAACACAAAAGGAAGTCCCAAAAAAGAGAGAGACCACAGAGAGATGAGAGCTGCAGGTGGAAAAGGCTTTTCGCTTCCCCTGGGCTGAGGGTATCTTCAGGATGGTTGAGAAAATGTACATGTAAGAGATGATCAGGCACAGCACACAAACCAGGCCTGCGAGACCCCCAACGATGAAGATCACCAGCTCATTGATGAATGGGTCTGTGCAGGAGAGACTCAGGAGGGGGTTGATGTCACAGAAGAAGTGTGGGATCACGTGGTCTGCACAGAAGGACAGGCTGTTCATCAGGAGTGTGTGGAGAAGGGAGTGGAGGGCATTCACGACCCAGGACGCAGACACGAGGAAGACACAGAGCCCTGGGCTCATGACCATGATGTAGTGGAGTGGGTGGCATATGGCCAGGTAGCGGTCGTAGGCCATGACAGCCAAGAGGAATGCCTCCAGCATCACAAACAGCATGAAAAAGTACAGCTGTAATAGACACCCTGAGTACGAGATGACCTGACTGTGGATCCAGATGTTTGCCAGCATCTTAGGGACTGTGGTGGACACAAAGCAGGCATCTGCAAGAGAGAGATTGGCCAGGAAGAAGTACATGGGGGTGTGGAGTTGAGCATCAGTGATGACGGCTAGAATAATGAGGAGGTTGCCTGCCACGGTGACCAAGTATAGGGACAGGAAGAGCCCAAAGAGGACCTCCTGCTGCTCCTGCTGCTCAGAGAACCCCAGAAGGAAAAATTCTGCTATGTTCGTCAGGTTTTTCCATCCCATTTTTCTGTAAGAAGAAAGTTGGGTTAACTGAAAGAAATTGGTAAGCCCTGGATTGTGAACTTTGAAAACAGTGCAGTATCCCAACGTCGATCTTCCAGCGTGAGGTTGTGTCATATGAAATCTCCAATATTTGACTATCTGGGACCTGTAAAAATGGCAGTTTCATGTGGTCCAACTGAATATTTGCAAATGCCTGTGCTTGGTGCTGTGGGAACCCACGGATTTATTTGCA